CGGGTCTCCGCGAAATACACGGTCGGTCGGTTCGTATCATTAGGGGAGGCTCTGGCTCGGGCAAGTTCTAATTGCAGGGCCCGAGGGGGAGGTACCTCCGGGGGGAAGCCGGGGGCGTGCAGAAGCGGGAGCCGATAAAGTCGGGCGCTGCGTAGGTCGGTAGGTGGGAAGAGGGGCGGGGTGGTGTAGGTGGTCGCAGGTACGCTCGCAGGTCGGCGCGCAGGTACGGAACGAGTGAGTACGTCGGGTATACATATGTACATACGTATATACGTACGTATATACGTACGGGATAAGTGGGCACGTATACGTGGGTATACGGGGAGATCGACGGGCGCGTCGTGTAGTGGCTGGACTTTCAAGCCTGGTTGCTCATTGTTAGCCGAGACGCGGCCGGAGGAGGAGCGGGCATTGTTCGCTCCTCGTCCCGGCCGGGAGCCCCCCGCTGCGTAAGTTATTTGCCACGATCCTCCTTCGTGATTTTTACTCTAATTTGTAGCGACAGGGATGGAGAGCACGCGAGCCGCCGCATTCCTCGTCCCTCCCCGCGGGCCTGGGGAGAGAGCGTCCTTTTGGAAGTAACGCCTGGGGCCCCCACAATGGGGCCCTATGATTTCGGTAGCGGTGGTTTTTTGTCGGCGCGATCGCCCCGGCATGGTTAACTTTGATCGATGGTTCGCGGCCGGCGTATATAGCTGAGTAAGCCTCCGTTTAATTAATTCTTTAATTACTTTCCGGGCCGCGATCCTCCGATTCCAGATATATTCCCGATACGGGGTACCGGCACGCACGGTAGCCCTTGATTAGATACGTGCCCCCGCGACTTCTGCGAGCATGCCCTCCGGTATGGGAGCCCCCGGTCGGAGATACCTCCCGAACCTTTTTTTACCGCGGGCTACTTACCTCCTATCGCTTTGGTATCTCCGAGGAGCTGCTTTCGTTTCGACACCTCCTCGGCGGATCTTCGGACCCGCCCGCCGTAGGAAGGAAACGGTCATCGGCGATTCGCGCGCGTCCTCCCTTGCGGAAATTCACCCTGCGGTCGAAAATGCCCGAGGGACAAAGGCGACGTCGATTCGAGGACGTACCGCTCGTCCACCGGGAGGTGTCATTGTTGGAGGCGTTGAATTCGTGCCGGATGGATGCTCCAGTTACTTCTTTTAATGGCCCCGACTCGGATAAATGCTGGACTCCTTTATGGAGTACTTGTGGTTTGTCCTAGCGGTAAGACGGATATTATCATGCAAATTGTTACATTGTGTACGTTCCGTTGCAGATACGAGTTGGACTCGGGAGGAAGAACGATAGTAATGTAAATGCTCGGCGTTTGATTTAGTATCAGAGAGGGAATGTAGATTAGCATGCGCACATAGCACTGTCAGCGAAATTGACTCTATAGACTTTTAAGAGTGTCAAATTATGTTGGTAACGCGGATTTAATTCCGTTTCATGTAGCGTCGGTCCGATACGATTTGGTGTACACGTCCGCGACAACCCCGGTAAATGTATTATGGTAATACGATATTATACTATCTCGGCTTATCGCAATCGATCGATTCGCCCGGAGAAGTGTAATTTAAAAGGAAATGCGAATCGCGTCATATTATATTGAAACATGTTACGATACAACGTATTTAGGGGAACCGACTTACAAGTGTTTCACATTGTAGTAAATCAACGTAAACGGCATTAATCGGCATTAAATCCATATTATTGATGTAATCCGATCCACTTGTAAATTTACTGCGTTAACGTCGTTATCCATTCGTGCACGGGGTCGTATTATAAATGTCAAACGTTATCCATCGGCATTAGTCGAGTTACTCCGGTCAAACGGCTTGTAACGTTAATTTCTTCTTCTTGGTTTGTTAAATTAGAGTTTACAATTTTAATTTAATTTCAATCACCGCATACGTTTTATTTACGGCAGTCGTTTCAGGTTCCTGACAACGAGTGATTTTTCACAGTGCATTTCCGACCCGGATATCCGTCGGCTATCGGGAGGAACACGTGGCCATCTATGCACCGATCTCCGGCGGTCCTCTTTGGGTGAGAACATCATTGACCGCCGATGGACGTTCACCTGTTCAGGTTAGTAAATCATCGATGCGGACTTTTAGCGCTGGTGGTGCGAAAAGACGGTCCACCTCCCGAAATCGCACGCGACCATAAACGCCGCCGAAAAGAAGTCGGTGTAGGGCAAGGCGAGGTAATTCGATGAGGCATCGGTCGGGATTTTATCCCGTAGGGCCCATAGAGCTAAAACGCGGAACCGACGACCGGCTAATAGCTCCAGAAACAGGAGATCGAGAGTTACACCTCGACGGTATTTTTTGGAAAGGCCCTCTCATCGTTTACCTATGCTGCTTATGTACCTTTACGGAGGATACACCCTGTTAACGGTACTCATAATACCCGAATAACGATCCACCGTTTTTCCGCAACTATTTAACCCTTTTAGTGCCGGGCGAAAAAGAGGTGCTTACGCGAAGATAACCGGCCGAATTTTACGATTTTACTAGGATTTGGAAAAAGGCTCATAAAAACCAAACGAAAAGCGATATTTACATAATTCAAAAAGCAGGGTATTAAGGACAAAATAGAGAATAAAACGGTGACGCTAATTTTTCTATATTCATTGAAAATTACATAAATAACAAAGGTATATGTGATAAAAAAAAAAGAAAAATTGAGTTCTCGGTTTCAAAACGCAATTGCACATAGGAAAAGTCATCTTTTTATCATAAATTTATATAGACCGTTTATTGCAAAGTATATACTTTAAATTTCCAATATATTTTTTAACAAAATAAGTAATATTGCACGAGAAACATAAAAAATAACTCCAAGGCACATGGTAGGCGCCGGACGGATTATCTCATCCGAAACAAGTAATTGTTATAGGTTGTTATACGTGTTGTTGTATCGTTATTTTAATTCTCTCGTAATGAAATTAGACTATTTATAACGTATTATAAATTTATTTTGAGATAGAGATCTCTCGCAAAGCGAATAGTAAAGCGCTACAAGGCGCGGATCGATATATCGGCTCTGGCACTTTTCGCCAGTGTAGCGAGGGCCGATATATCGACCTCCGGCACTAAATGGGTTAATATGGCGACGTATTGTTATTTTCATTCTCTCGTAATGAAATTAGACTATTTATAACGCATTATAAATTTATTTTGAGATAGAGATCTCTCGCAAAGCGAATAGTAAAGCGCTACAAGGTGCGGGCCGATATATCGGCTCTGGCACTTTTCGCCAGTGCAGCGAGGGCCGATATATCGGCCTCCGGCACTAAAAGGGTTAATATGACGACGTGTTGTTATTTTCATTCTCTCGTAATGAAATTAGACTATTTATAACGCATTATAAATTTATTTTGAGATAGAGATCTCTCGCAAAGCGAATAGTAAAGCGCTACAAGGTGCGGATCGATATATCGGCTCTGGCACTTTTCGCCAGTGCAACGAGGGCCGATATATCGGCCTCCGGCACTAAAAGGGTTAAGCCAATTAAGCAACATTCATTCTTCTTTGCAGAGAGCGAAAGCAACGCATTTCGTTAAGATACACTATATCGGTAATCACGGATAATCGAAAGGCGGGAAAAGCGGGTTATTCTCCGGAATTCGTCAGGTATGAAAAATAACGCCAGTAGATCGTTTCAAAGTCTTCGGTAGATTGAGTCGAGTCTTACGAAAACAAAATCGATCGTCTCTTGTTCCAAACGATGTACACGTTCCTTCTTTTTGGAATGTTTAACACTTTCGTTACCTTGGACGAGATATCTCGCGACCCAATACTGGCCGATTAACGCTTTTGTCGAGATATCTCGCGACCCAATGCTGGCCGATCAACGCTTTTGACGAGATATCTCGCGATCCGGTAGTAGCGGATTAACGCTTTTGACGATAATCTAGCTTTCTAGCACCAATATTTTGACATTCTAGATGAATATATTTTATAACTAATTCTATTCGTATAGCTAAAAGGAAGAAATAAATACAGCTACTACCGGATCGCGAGATATCTCGTCAATAGCGTTGATCGGCCAGTATCGGGTCGCGAGATATCTCGTCAAAAGCGTTAATCGGCCAGTATTGGGTCACGAGATATCTCGTCCAAGGTAACGAAAGGGTTAAAATCACTTCCTGGACCGACCTCTTGAACGTTCCACTCCCAGGAAAGAGGGGAAAGTCGGAAGGTGCCAAAATGACGGCAACTCGGGAGACGTTCCGTACCCAGTATCACCGGGGCACCGGAGATTAGGCCGTCGAAGGCGCGAGTGTGGAAGTTGGACACGTCGTCCCGGGTCCGGACAACGAGAGGAGCGGTCTCGTTGCGCGTCTCTCGGAGATTCGCTTTGGTTTCGGGCCGGCGGAGGTGAAATTTCCCCCTGGCGGTTCGACGACCTTGCCGGGCTCGAGGAGTCCCTCGACAGGCCTCTGGTTTCCACCGTCGGAGTCTTTTCGGGAGCCGGGCCGCGGACGGAAGAATGCAGATGCCCGTGAAAGGCAGCGAAGAGAGGGACAGTTTTGGTAATCGGTATTAGGTATGCGGACGGACCCCGAGAGAAGTCCTCGGTGGACGTCCTCGGAGATGAATCGGATCGGCCGGGTCGGGCCGATGGTCCCAGGCCGAGCGATCGGCGATCGCATGCACGCTGACGGGATCGTCCAGGCTTGAGAAGAGAGGCACCGACGCCGCCACCGCCACCGCTCCTCTTCGAGCTTGCGTGCCAACTCGCATTGCCGGGTAATTTCTTGCACGCAATTGCCCGCTACTGGAATTGCCTGCCGAGCGACCTCCGAGCGCTCATTTACTGTTTTCAATCTAAATGCGTGTGCGCCTGCAAGCCTCCACCCTGCAGCCAGGGGTTAAGGCGAGCTTTTGGGAACGATGGACCGGGAACCGAGGGGCGCTCTTAACCGCACGCAGGACCGTCCATTTTTCGGCAATACCGGGATCGGGAACGGAGTTGACGGAAAAGCGTACCGAACAATCGTGAGGACGTTTTCATTCGAAGGCATCTTTGCAAGGATCTGTTTCCTAGAAGGAGCTAACTCCATGTGCCACGGATCGCGGTGGATGATGGGATCATTGACGGTAATGACCGAAGAGTGCGTCAGAGTGAGGAGGATAAGTTTGATATGTTGTTACAAGTTACAGTTTTCAAGGGTGTTCGGTTATAGGTTCGCGATGCCGTTTCAAGCTTCGGAATACAACAGTGTACGTAGGTTGTAGGACTTCGTGGCCGGAGTAGTTGCATTATTTCCTGAAAAATTGTTATCGAAGCGCTTAAATAGGGTATCGGGTTTAAGGTGAAGTGAAACCCCCTTCAAATCAGTCGAGTCGAATACAACACTTTGTTTTAAGGGTATTAGACCAAACTGTCCGAAACTTTGACACATCACTCCTGATCATCTAAGAATTGACCTGACACATTCAAAATTTGGATTTTTTAAACAAATTTTTTAACTCAGTCCACAGCAGAACCAAAATGGCGTCGAGCTCTCATACTTCGATCAATATACAATTATCGAAGGCTCTGATATGAGAACCGAAAGGGTCAGGACAATTTTACGACAATTTAGAACACTCTGGTAATCGATAAAATTGCATTTGAACGGGATAAAGGCAAAAAAAGTGTTGTATGCGCTTCTGTGCTAAAACGATGGGAATACGGGGTCTCGGAGTGAAAATTTAATTGACCTGGAAATCACAGATGGCGCAGGGGGTCCCTCCGCAGTCAATTAGGGCCCCAGAAGGCATGAATCCAGAAGATTTCTGGAGTTTCACTTCGATTTCTTTATAATTATTGTACGAAAACGACAGGTGGAGTATGCCATTTGGTACAATACCCAATATAATTCGACCCAGCTGTCAATATAAAAACGAACGGCGGGAACGTAGGCATTTAGAAAAATCTTCTTTATCGACGTCGATCAAGTTCCTCGACGTGTTTCACTTCACCTTAATATCTTTTTAGTTCTATGCACTTTTCAGAAGGCACTATCCTGACGAATGTATTTCTCTTCGAGTCAGGGAGTGCCTTACGTTACCGATTGTTTTTGGAGGTCCTTTCGGTATAGAAGAAACCGCGGCTCGATGAATGATTTAACCGCAATCGTTAACAGTTGGGATTCGCTCCCCGTCTCCAGTGGCACAGGACCGAAAGCCGAGCCAATACACGGGATAAAAAAAGAGGAGCGGAAAACGAGAATGCCAAGTCAGGCTTACGTTGATCAACCAATGCGCTCCCCGAAAACGTCATCTCTTGTACGGGTCAAAATAGCGGCTGCAACACCCATACCTGATCCTCAAAAGCGTTAATCCGCTACTACCGGATCGTGAGATATCTCGTCAAATGCGTTAATCGGCCAGTATTGGGTCGCGAGATATCTCGTCCAAGGTAACGAAAGGGTTAATGTCGCCGCATTTAATCATCCTCGATCTCATTGCTCCAAAGCGTGTCTCTCCGCAGATTATTCCGCACCTATCTTGTACTTGAAATTTATTTATTATCGCTCCGTGGAGAATAATTGACGGGCCCCGCGTTACACAACAATCGACGCTTCTCTTCTTGCTCTTGTTCGTGCCGATAATAAAATATTATCATAACTCTTTCGCCATAATCGATTTAAATTATCTAAGAACATAAATGACACTTGTAATGATACATGCCGGCATGTATAATTTATACCTACAACAATTTAAAATATGCCCAGAAAAGCTAATACGTATTCAGATAGCTTTTTTGTTGGATATTCTATACTTCGTGCGTGGTCTGTACTATAAGTCGCTGAAGCAGTTTTACATACTTCAATGATAAAGAATCTATTACGTGTCATAGCGAAGAGTAAAATCAGTCTTGGCCTTACTTGCAATACCCGGCCTCGCACTGTTTTTAAGATACAAGACCAATACCAATTTTGCTCACCGCTATAGTAACAGTGGTAACTATCCCAAAAATACCGTGCCTCGTACCATCCCACCCCGTATGTTCATGCGAATAAATAAAAGAAGATCATTGAAAAGATGATTACTGGAAGTATAGGAGCTCGAGGAGCAGGTTGCACGAACGCGTTACGTATTCGCGCGAATGCCCGCTACTTGGAGGCTACTCCAAGAGCGAACAAAGAATATTCATTCTGAGGTCAAGTCAAACAGACGGAGACCCTTTAAAGGTTTGTTCACGCATGCCGAGCGGGATGCGCAAACTTCGCTTCGAATTCATTTCTCGAGGAAACCTGTGTGGGCTTCGTCACGCTTAATCTAAACGCACTCGTGCACACTCCTCACGTAGGACACAACCGACTATCGGTCGGTTTCCATCGAAGCTCCTCTACAACCTAACCTCCATTCTCGCGCCCGATACACCGCTTACACGACATCACTCAGGAATGTTAAAGAGCGCATGGGAAACACCGCGGGCCTAAGCTTTTATTATCGGCACGAACAAGAGCAAGGAGAGAAGCGTCGATTGTTGTGTAACGCGCGGCCCGTCAATTATTCTCCACGGAGCGATAATAAATAAATTTCAAGTACAAGATAGGTGCGGAACGGGGTGGGTACGAGGCACGGTATTTTTGGGATAGTTACCACTGTTACTATAGCAGTGAGCAAAATTGGTCTTGGTCTTATAGTCTTGGGATTGATCTTGAAAATAGTGCGAGGCCGGGTATTGCAAGTAAGACTGATTTTACTCCTCGCTATTACACGTAATAGATTCTTTATCATTGAAGTATGTAAAACTGCTTCCAGCGACTTATAGTACAGACCGCGCACGAAGTATAGAATATCCAACAAAAGGGTTATCTGAATACGTATTAGCTTTTCTGGGCATATTTTAAATTATTGTAGGTATAAATTATACATGCCGGCATGTATCATTACAAGTGTCATTTATGTTCTTAGATAAGTGAAATCGATTATGGCGAGAGAGTTATGATAATATTTTATTCTCTCATATAGTAAAAGAGAGGGGAAGAAGTCATTTCATAAGCAAATCATGCAGTCGGATGAAACGGCTTCGATTATTTGATATAACTCTTTTGGTTGAAATATCTTTCAAGTATTAGGTAACTCATTTGCAGAAACATCACAAGGCTATAAACCTCGATATGCTCACTTGGTAAGAAGGAAGGTACGCGTAGGATATCGAACGTGAAAAACTGTCAAGTTTAGTTCCATTTTTCTCCTATATTTTTATCACCACTACAATTTTGCGCTTTAACAAAATTCACGTTATACGCCTACAATCAATATAAGTTTATCAGATATAATTTAGTAATACATAACCTCCGAGTATTTCTCTCGATCGAAGGTTATTGACGACGCCCTTATCTTTTGCTTCAGATACGTTTGGGTTTATCATCGACTAAACGGTATGCGAGCATGGATAAAGTAGACCGCGGCCTTACCGAGGAACGTCGGTAAGTACGATCCCAAGTCGAGATAACTTTCCAGTAATATCCACAAATTCTTCCAGATGGAGCCACGCATGACTTCGGTTAAAGAGGAGCGTCCAAAAGCTTATCAAAATTTCAATCAGGCTCAACGTTCATTTGCAAATCTAAACATTCTTTAACATTAAATATTACTAGCGCATGCGAGTATCCAGAGAGGTATTCCGATAAACTTTGGATATTTTCAGATATTCTGTCTGAATGCACAGAATGCATACAGATCGATGGGAAATTCATTTAATATTGAAGAGGTATCACTCTATCTAACGTCAGATTAGCTGGATAGAACTAATACATTATAAACCAGCAAGACATTTCGTACGAAAACAATATTAAAACAGGATCAAACAATTAAGTATGTACCGTCCGTGAGTATGCGGGAGACAAACTTGTTTATTTTAAAAAGATACTCTACAAGGCATAGTCAACTCGTGAAACTAAACAAGATGTAACAAGGATCGAGGAATATGTAATGGGAGATTTTATTCATTTTTAAATCTCAATGTAGTTAAGGATTGACTACAAAAGCGTGTTTAGACCCTTGCGGCTGGTAGATAAGAAGGAATTTGTCGCCCTACCGCGATATGTCATCGTTTTCATATACAAGGCCTTCTTCCAGGAAAAAGATCAGTAGAAAATATTGCTCACAATTTTCCTACTTATTTTATTTATACCTCTCGGCAGTCGTGGCAAAAAAGCTGACCAGAAGGGGGTGGACTTTTAATGTATGTATCATTTATTAATCTAAAACATTACATAAATAAAAATGTCTGATCAACCGTGAACAATCACCCGTTTAAGATTGCCTCGTATTATCAATCAATTAAAAAATAATCGTTCAAATGTATCGTCACGATTTTAACTCATATACCAAATATATTTTAATCAGGATATATATGGGATTGCTGAAGATTGAGGTCCTTAAAAACTCGTACATAAAATGAATAATATACAAATTCGGAGGATGTGAATTGCAGCGAAAACTAGATTTCAGAGCAACACCACAATGCAGGATGAGGTAATGGAATTTCACCATTAATATAAAGCGTAATATTGAATTTGGAACGGCACAAATTACGACCATAATTTTATCGCAGATATATGTTGATGTTGCAAACTGGAAGACGTATTACGTCATTATATTTTGTTAATATCGTGTTCTATTCCGGATGTCCGCTTACGTTATGCACTTTACAATGCGTTTCATGTAAATGCACGAGCCCGGATAATTGGAAGACAAACTTTCCAGCAGGAAGTGTCAGATGTCGGACTGTAACATGTACGATTTCACGTTTTCAGAGTTGGGATGTCACTTTCACAAGTGCTTCGATCCGTGGAATCTAAATACTGTATTGATAAATTTGGCAATTCTATTTAATTACTCTGTCGATAATATTTACTACCACATAGTAGAATATTTGGTCATTTAAAAGAATTCCGAATAAACATTAAAAGCTAATTAACGCAAATAATTTATCGAAACAGAGTGAATAATTTCCCGATTTTTTTTTTTTTGTAAATAGTAAATACAGAGTAATAATTTTCGGTTATTCCGAAACTAGAAAGAAAATGTAAGTAATACTTTTTTTTACTACTCACAAGGAAGGTATCCCAGGTCGATCTCTCTGATTTGATTTCTTTCATAATATGTTATAGTAGACTAAGCGAATCGTTTTTTTTTTATCTGCCATAAACACTTTAAGGGGGTGAAAACACCATCCAAAGGCATGTCAAGGGGCGATTTGGCAGTTTCACCCACAAGAACATAATATTTTTTAACCAATCCACCTGGATAAGCTTTCTCATAACGAGAAATGAAAAATATAATTTTCTCAATTAAAAATAAGAATTAAGGGGTGGGCCACCCCTCACAGGCCTTACTTCGGATGGTGGTTTCACCCCCTTAAAGTGTTTAATGGCAGATAAAAAAAATACGTGTCGCTTAGTTTTTAATCGACTAGAACATATTATAAAATAAATCAAATCAGAGAGATCGACCTGGGATACCTTCCTTGTCAGTAGTTATTAGAAGTTCGGAAGTTCGTGAACATTTTTTTTCCCTGGTATTGAGTACATTTAGCATAGCAAATACAGTCTTAAATATTGCTTAATCAAAATACGTTTCAGGAAAATATTTTTGAAGATTCTAAAGTACCTTTCCGTCTATTTGAACGTTTAGTAATATAAATAACATANTATACAACTTCAACCATTGAAAATTTCACTTGAGCGAACTATTCGATTTTTAAACGGGCACATTAATTTGATTTCAAGTACCTCATTTTTCTCAGGGTATTCGGATCCAGTAATAAAAATCGTAAACATTACGAAATCGAAGCCGAAAGAGCTAATATGGCGAAATCGGAAGCTGAAACCAAAGTGGAAGTTTATCGAAACCGATAACCGCAACGGATCCATAATTTCGTTTGGATTATGGTCTCGGGTTATTACCGCTCACGTTTCGGAGTAGAGCCTCTGCCAACATCCCAGGGCGAATAACTCGGACGTATCTTTGGAAAAAAAAACGATAACCGAGGTTGGAGAATCTATCTATGGTCCTCACACGATGCATTTCAACCCCTTGTCGCGTTATTTCCGCTCCGCCATAAAATGTTCTGTACGTTTCACAGTAGTAGGTATTCTCGTTGCTGCGTCGCTTCGAATATGACGCTGGAAGATCAACAGCGCCTAGATCCCGTGAATTCCCCCAGGCCTGGGGAATTCGGTGGTCCAGACGCGAGCGAGCAGGGTCAACAAGTTATCGCACGAAGTCCGGCAGAAATAATCGGGAGGATAATTTGAGGCGACGTAGCCGAGGCAGTTGCTTCAAGAGATGCGTTGTTTGCGTGCTTCGGTGCTGTTCTTGCTGCTTAAGGCCGTTTTCACGGTGGCGTGGCTGCCCGTCTGGTTCCCCCTGACGGAGCGTGCAGATCAGGTAGTAAAATCATATCCGAGGTACGGCTACGAGGGCGTCAAGATTGATATCCCGAAGAAAGACATCTTCCAAGGGAGGATCATAATCGCGCCTCTCAGGACACGAGTACATTGCGAACCGGGACAGAGACCGGATCGTCGGGGACGATGCAGAACGGCCTGGTGATCATGGTGCATGGAGCATGGTGCATCATGGATTTCGGGAAATGGAAGAGAATGGAATAATACTACACCAAGGTATATATGTAAAAGAAATATCGTATATAAATCGTTGGATTATATCCCGAAGAAAGACATATTCTAAGGGAGGATCATAATCGCGCCTCTCAGGAAACGAGTACATTGCGAACCGGGACAGAGACCGGATCATCGGGGACGATGCAGAACGGCCTGGTGATCATGGTGCATCGTGCATGGTGCATCATGGATTTCAGGAAATGGAAGAGAATGGAATAATACTACACCAAGGTATACATGTAAAAGAAATATCGTATATTAATCGTTGGATTATATGTGCCCATAATTATGAAAGTGGTCTAAGTCAAAATTGAAAAAAAAATGAGTTTATCAGTTATTTCACGCCACATTGTTTCAAACGAAATTAATTCAATGTAATTTCGAAATAAAAAATATATGACTTAGACCACTTTCATAATTATGGGCACATATGGAAACATAGGAATTGGAATTTAGACGGATGAGTCATTACTGAATGTTACTGCGTCAATGACTATCAAAATGACCTAAAGGCGCGTACATATATGTGCGCGAACGCGGACGAGGCAAAACGAATGCCTCGTACGATGTGTACGCAACTTAAATAGTTTCTTTTTGACTAAACTAACTTCAGGTTATTGTAACGTTTCGCGTCTACCGCGCTCGTTACGTTACGTTCTTTAAGGTGAAGTGAAACACGTCGAGGAACTTGATCAACGTCGATAAAGAAGATTTTTCTAAATGCCTATGTTGCTGACGTTTATTTTTATATTGACAGCTGTATCGAATTATATTGGATATTGTACCAAATGGCATACTCTACCTGTCGTTTTCGTACAATAAATATCAAGAAATCGGAGTAAAACTCCAGAAATCCTCTGGATTCAAGCTTTCTGGGGCCCCAATTGACTACAGAGGGACACCCTGCCCCATCTGTGATTTCCAGGTCAATTAAATTTTCACTCCGAGATCCCGTATTCCCATCGTTTTAGCATAGAAGCGCGTACAACACTTTCTTTGCCCTTATCCTGTTCAAATGCGAGTTTATCAATTACCAGAGTGTTCTAAATTGTCGTAAAATTGTCCTGACCCTTTCCATTCTCATATCGGAGCCTTCGATAATTGTATATTGATCGAAGTATGAGAGCTCGACGCCATTTTGGTTCTGCTCTGGACTGAGTTAAAAAATTTGTTTAAAAAATCCAAATTTTGAATGTGTCAGGACAATTCTTAGATGATCAGGAGTGATGTGTCAAAGTTTCGGACAGTTTGGTCCAATACCCTTAAAAAAAAGTGTTGTATTCGAATCGATTGATTTGAAGGGTGTTTCACTTCACCTGAAGTGCTCGTATTTATGTATTTGGCGCGAAACTCTACCGAGTTAATTTAAATGGATACGGCACAAAATATGGAATAATTTAATTTTTTTTTTTTTTAGATCTTTAACTTAGACCACTTTTATAGCTATGACATGAGCATCAGCGTCGGAGTTAAGTCAATATGTAGTGTACAGGATTATAGTAGAAGAAAAAAAAGTATATAATTCTTTTCATTATCTTCCTTACACTTTGAAAGTGGTCGTGAAAATTTTCCACGGTGCCAAATTGTAGATGTTCGATTAATTATTATTATTTGTATTACCTACACGGATCACGGAAGCAAAATTGCCCGGGATTAAAGTAAACTCGGGTTCTATGTCGTACTTTAAAAGTGCTGGATCACAGCAGCCTGTCTAGGGACTCGTATAGTTATAAATTTAGTTCGGGTTACTGTTGTTCTTTCCGTAAAAACTCTGCTAATTAAGGCCAGAAATATATTCAACATGGCGGTTAAATCGCTTAGCTCGTTTTGTACCTGATCGTGATTGGGTGAATCTAGAGCAAGCATGTACAATCTTTTCCCGGCGAACCATCGAGTCGAGCTGATTTAATGGGCCCCTTACACGATTAAACATCCGCCAAACTTTCGTCAAATTTCGTTTCAAGCGTTCTCCACTTCAGACGTCAGAGGTCGTTCAGAAATTTACCCCACTTCCGTCGTGACGTAATTTTTGTAAAGGTGTGCATCAATGATGCAAAGAAGTTGAGCGCGAAAGAGGAATCTACGCTCCCTGAATTCGGTTATCGTCGTAAAAATGAATCGGTTCAGATTTAACCCCTTCATATTTCCACCGTTCTATATCCGTGGTTAATTTCGGTGATCCGGGACGCTAAAATGGATTTTATACATTATAAAACATATCCGGGGTGAACCGACCGTAACGATCTATACCTCTCTTTTGTCCAGAAATTCTTCCTTGTACAAAATATTTTAATTACATCCAACGTGTCAATTAACCGTGTACCTCATTTTGTAACTTATCCCGAACAACGTGTACACGTTATTATCCGTTATTAAACATTAACAAGCGTGTCAAAAATAATATATAAAGAGACGACGATGCGGATAATTTCGTGCGGCACATAGTATGTACACGTGAAACAAGTAAAAACTCATTCGGTAAATTTGTACGCTTTCGCTCGTCCGGAAGCCCTAAAGAGCTTCCTCGTAACATTTGTGATTATCCTCATAGCTTGCAAAACGGTTCCGCTGAAATTAGCAACGGCTGTTAAATTGGTTGGTTATTTCTTTTTCACTCCGTAACTTAATATCCCAGTCGAGTGAAACGTTCATTTGAATAAAAGAGGATTGGTGTTTGCGAGCTGTCCGCCTGTCCCATTTGAGTGGGAACGAATAAAAGCGAATTAATATTTGATTGGCACGCACCGCGTGTACCGTCAGCATTTGCAAATAAAGTGCTTAATGTCGAGGTATAAATTTGACCGGAAGAAAAGTTGGCAATCAACCAATACCGGAAAGATAATCAGGCAGCGTTCGGAAACGTCCCTTGTGTCAACGAGCCACATCAATGGAGACTTCTCCGGAAATGGAGCTCTTTGTACCAAAATCAGTTCGAATCGGTTCATCTCCAGGCATATCGAATTGCTCGTGACGTACGCCTGTCTATGTCAGAAGTAAATTCCGTGATAGTGTGTGCGGTCCTTTGGTTACGAAACGGTCAGGCGTTGATGGGATTCGATTAGCCTTAAGTGTAACACGTTGCGCAATGCTCTCTATGTATCCGTATCGAGATGTTTCAGTGATCGACATGATTCTAACCATGCTACAGGCAACTCGAGTTTCATGGTAGCTCGGTTCAATGGTATCGATAACATTGTTTCGATGCACCGAGTGAGCGTTTATTGTTTCATATTCCCCAACAAATCAAGCGATCTCGGGGCGCTGATTTTTTATTTACTCACCCTGCAACGCCCTGTCGGAACCGTGGTTTTTCAAAATGAGATGTAATATATTCATTCGTATTTGTGTATTTCTTTTTAACACTAGGTTTACGGGACCCGTCAATTTGACGGAATTCAAACTTCAAAAAGAAATACTGAAAAAACCATAGCATTAATTTAAACCATTTTTGTATCGTGAATTAATCATTTCATCCAAAGAATTTGTACACGCAATTATTTTTTCCTAAGCCTTCTAATTATTAAAATCTGTATGTGGTATACCTATCTCTACGAAACCCGTCTAATTGACGGACTAGCTAATTTCATAAACAATCCATATATATTTGCGTCGTTGCAGTGAGTGTAAGGCGAAGATGAAAGTGAAAGTTTGCATCGAAAGTGGAGAAATAGTAGGATCTTCGGATAGTGAAGAGGAAAACTTCTTGAAAAGGTGTCGTAGCAAGAAAAGGATGCGCATTCTTTCTGGTTCTGACTCCGAGGATGAGAGGACGAGCATTCCAATCATTTCCGTGATAATTTTTAAAAAAGCACTTTTTACTTATTAATCATTTATTTAAACGTAAAGCCTAGTGTTGTTTAATACAGACTTAATTTGAATAAATCGATTTTTTAAAGAAAATGCGTGTTTTCGTTTACCCGTCAATTTGACGGGTGCTCGTAGAAACAGGTATATAAAAAACGCCCGTAAACCTAGTGTTAAAGACCCCGTGGACGAGGGAGTAGCTAATTTTAAAAAGAAAGATCGAATACCTAATCAATGTCGATAATTTTGTTAACGCGCGTCAATTGGTATATACCGGAAAGAAGAATTATGTATTAACACGTTCCCTGCCAGACCGTTTTTTGAAGACTTTCCGTTCAGGCCGCGTGGGGCGTATACGCCCCACGATCAAATGAGCGCATCCGCAATAGTATTAAGATGCCCATAATTGACTGCATAATGAATTTTTAAAAAATTCTTCATTTTACAATGATAATACCAAATGGCTTGAACGGAAAGTTCAGCGTGGGGCGCATACGCCCCACGCGGCAGGGAACGTGTTAATATTTAGAGAAAATGAACTTGTAAATTAAATCCAGGTTATAGTTTGGTTGATGGTGTAACACTCGGGTTGTATAGGTGTTTATGTTTCAGGATGAGATTTAGTGACGCGTGGAAATCGGTCGCCTTGCGTTAGATTATTCGGTGGCATATCGTCGGTAAGTGTGTAAGTGATGAAACACGTGGTCTGTACTTGTAGACAAAGTTTAATCTACTTCCTATGAACTTAGATCGGCTACGGTTTACTTCTCTGAAGTAAATATAATGTTACTGCGGTCGCGTGTTTAGTTGAAATTCTGATTGATTAATCTTACGGTAATCACGGCAACATCGAAATTCAGCATATATCTAATAATTCAAATATTTGAATTGAATTCTATCTAGCTCGAACTCCAATTAAAGCAATATTACCGCTGCATGGTTTACTACATACTTGAGAGTAAAAATATGAGCTCCTTCAATTCCAAAAAATGTGTTAAAAAATGATAAAAAATCTGATTTATTAATTTTTCAATGTTTACACATTTTCCCATTATACCGAGCTAATACTTAGGTTTACTTGTACTGTTGGGGGGTATTAATAACGTTGAGCTGCCTCAATTTATTTGACAACCACACGTGGCGCAGCTGATTACAGGAGAAGTTGGCCAAATTTCGTGGAAACCTTATCAGCATCAATTTCCATTATTTTCCCATCACCTACCTTATATTTGACAGTTGACGGTTCTTTTTTACCCCTCTCTTTGAACGAAAATGAAAAGACACACTTGAGTTCCCAAACTTTCAACTCGTCACGACAATTCCATTTACGCCGCTAACGGAATCTTGCGCACTTCTGATTATAATTTACGAGTGCAAATGGGGTCGAAGTTAAGAGCGGATTAACGTAAACGGCCAGTAATTGAATT